ATATCTGATGTTCCAGAAATATTCGTTGTTAAAAAAAAAATGTAATTTTAAAAAATTCAGAAGTTTGTTGCTTGAGCCTTGATATTTAAAATATCGATAGATTTCAAAAGAATTTTTTCCTTTAAATAAGCTTGCAGTCTAAAAGTGCTGAATAATTCTTGATCTCTATATCAGAATGTCTTTATCGCAAGTCACGTTGTTCGCTGCTGTCTTGTTAAATTTCCTTGTGTTGCCATATAATCGCAGCAATTTGCAATGATCAGAAATGCTGAATTTGCTTCCACGAAAGACTCGTCAGCATGTCGTAGACGGTGATCGGAATTGAAACCGAGACTTCCAGAAGGGCCGATGGAATAACAGGGTTCCCACTCTTATTGAAGAAAAAAAATTCAAGGACCATAAAATTACATATTTTAGGACACAAAAATGCAAAGGAAAAATTGAAATCAAATATTTTCAACTTTAACGTTCAAATGCGTCATCACTTTCTTACTTATGAATTTTAGATGCTTAAGTGAAGAGTATCAAGGACACATTTTGCTCACCTTGTAGTTAGTAAACCAAAATCTACAGTGGAAAGTGAGTTTCAAGATTACAATTCAAGCACCCTTACTATTAGCTATAGTGTACTACTAGATACTAATTTTACAAACTACTACTGAGCATTACTTAGTAGCTCACTTCACAAACACATTAGCTGAAACAAAATTCTTCAAAATCGACACTGAACAAAAAATCAAAATGGTATTAATACTGTCACATGGACAATGAGGTTTTACGGTGAACAAGGCCCTGGATATAGAAAATTTAAAAGATGCTTCATTTATTTTCCAGCATGTAAATCATGAATTTATTAAGCTGTGTGAGCTATTTATGACTTAAAAATTACTAAAGAAATGAGGACGGCTGCCACCTCAGCTCAAAATACATGCAGTATTTAGAAAATGAAAGATCCGAAGAAAAGACTGAAACGAAAAGATCTAGAGGAGGAAATAGATTTTTTAAAACAAAAGAAAATGTTCCTCCAAATGGACATGCACGAAACAAATGATTTAGCTAATGAGGCTGAAAAGTCAAAGGACATAAATTTATTTATTCAATCGCATGAACTAAGAAAAACAATTTCTGAAAAAGAAATTAAAATAAATACCTTGGATGTAAAATTGAATGAAAAAAAGTTTGGAATTAAAAGATATTTAATTTGATTACTAGTTTCATGGGTTTTTTTTCATCAATTTATTAACTCATATTTTTAGGAGTTCTGTTGTGTTAAATTTGTAATGTATCTTCTATGTTTTATATTATAATTTATCATCTAATAGGTTGAATTTGCAAAAATGAGACATTTTATTTAAAAATGCGTGCGACAATTCCTTAAATTTATTCAATTTAGAGATCCTTATTTTTTGGTTTTTTTAGTCCTTAAAAGTCCTTGATTTTCTTTTAAGGAAATGTGTACGAACCCTGGAACATGTATGCATACATACGAAAAAAAACCCCTTAGATAATAATTTCCGTCCAATAATTTGAAGATCCCATAATTTATCAAAATGTTCCGTATTCATAACAGGGGAAAAAAAAAATTAAAAAAAATGCTGACATAATAACGTCAAGTATTGCCATAATTCACCAAAAAGATCTCCTTGAAATGGAGAAATGAATTAATTCTGGTTATAACTTCTATTTGATATCCACATTGCTTCTTTGATGATTTAATGATAATTTGTATTTTTTTTTGTATAGACAGGAAAATTTACGATCTAACAAATTGGCTTCCTGCCAAAGAGATTCACACAAATTCCTGTGCGTCTTCTATATTTAAGTACAACTAATATCTATCAACTAATTTAACTAATAAAGGGAACACGATCCTGTTCATAGACTAAATTTCGGTTCCATGGAAATTAAAGTGTCAACATTCCGCTGCTTGGCGCGTGCGCAGAAACGCGGATGGCCTCCGTTTCTGATTGTCAGTAAATGACCGATTTTCATTGCTCCGTAGTCATCGATGTTTTATTCTACTTACGATAAAAGATCATAAGAATTATCAAAATAAAAAAAATCCAGTTTTAGAATAAATTGCCCTGCTTTTTCCGGATCTGAAGGAATCCCTGGGTCATAACGAAACCCTACCCTTTTTGGCCGCCCCCCCCCCCAGAGAGGAAAGATTGGTGATTGACAACATTACCTTTTCATCCTTTTTTGTCGCCCCTCCCTCTTCCTCGAAACTAGAGAAAAGAATGGTGACTGACAGTGTTCCCATAGCAACACCCTTTTTCCAGTGGTGGAATTCTCAAGACATTTCGAATTCTTCAAGGACCCAACGAAAAATCAAGTACTTTTCCGGGGCCCCGAGTACGGCAAATAAAATTCAAGGGTTTTCAAGGACCGTGGGAACCCTGAATAAAATGTGGAAAACCTGGTCGGAGGTTATAAATTGCAACTTAAGATGTCTGTGATATAGAACATATTTTTTCACGAAGAGTTTGAAAGACAGCAAACAAATGATTAGTTAGTAGTAATGATTAAAATTTATAGCTTCCACAATGGAATGCTAATAATAATAGTTGAATATTGTTTTTTGATATTTTAGCACACATTGAATTAGACCAGATAATCCAAGCAGTCTTAAAAACTTGCTAAATAGAAATTTGTGTGACTTAAATTTTCAGTTATGATAAAATGAAAATGACATTGTTGTTGTGAACAATGACGTCATTGTTGAGTTCTTTCATGTTCATTAGTTTCTCTGTGAAATCACATATTCAACATTTTTTTACTGTGCATGGGCGAAACGTAGCATAATTTTTCTTTCACAGTTTAAGAGCCAGATATATAGGCCAACTTATATAAAAATTCCAGTTCAATACCGTTAGTATTTACAAAGGTATCCACATTGCAACAGCTAAATTGATCTGCAAGAGAAACAAAATGATGGTTCTTCATAAATTGATATTTTATGAAGGTTGAATATCCTGAGTACTCATGTATATTTATAAAATTAAATACATAATTGAAATTGTATTTCGATTATAACTTATTCGGAGGGAAAATAGCCAGTTACTGTTCATTGGCTTCACTGTGAAACCTCTGCATTTTTTTTTATTTTCATGAAATTTAATTTTTTTCTCTTTATGATCAATTAGCTACGTCTCATACTCGTTTTTGAAAAAAATTTAGTAATTTTCAAAACGACATATGTAGTGTACTTAAAACTATTAAACAATGCAATAAGAATCGACAAAGCTATTTTAATTAAAAATTCAGCATATTATCAATTACTGCAACGACATGACATACAATGTAGAATGAATGAATACCACAAACTAAATATGCCAAAAGCTAGTAACAAAATTCAAAATTGCTTTTACCATGTGTAATTTCATTACAAATGTTTACAGTATTAAATTATCAATTTAGAATATCAAATATTGGATTATAAAGGAAGAATGACCCCCTGTAAACTTTTTAGGTTGATAAAGTTATTCTATAGGTTGTTAACCTATAACAGTTTTGCCTGAACACCGTTCGGACAGGTCGTTTTTCTAAGCCAATTCACTGATTTTCCAGGCTTTTTTACTTTGCAGTGTTTCTAGTAAATGCTCTAGCAGACTAATGTTGATTAGCAAAACAAGTGTAAATCAGTTTTTAGGTCAATGCCAGGCCCCTGCAATAAAAAAAAATCAATACTTGTAACCGTTTTGACTGCTGATTTGAATTTATAAAAAATGTGCTGATTTTTGGACACTATGGCAGAAGTGGTTAAAAAGATTAGATTGAATTGATCAGAAGGGAGATTAAATTTCTGTTTATTGGAAGGGGGGAGGGGAGATGAACCAGCACATGAAATTGAATATGTCCCATCTCCATTCCAAGAACATCAACATACATGCTGTTAGATTCTTTAAGAAAACAAAAAAAAAGTAAATTGCTGCATTTGGAGTATTTAATTCAAATAAAAAACAAATGATTGCTTTTCCCAGATTACTCCAAGATAGGCCAATGGAAGTGTAAAAGTTTTAAGAAGCCCTATAACAGAGCATTTGTGGAAAGATCGGATGTCAGCCCCAAAGCACACAGGGAGCAAAAGATTTTAAGAACAAAAACATGGCAATAATAAATGAATTGAAATTGCACCTTTCATTTCTGAATGATTTTCGTTAATGATATTTTGCAGTACACATATCATGGGATGAAGAGGTTAAACAAAAATCAAAAGGAACCCATCCGACTATGAAACTTATGATTTTCATTCTGAGTCACTCATGCTTGAAAGAATGTATGCATTCAATTGTGTCAATTTATTTTTTAAAGATAACGAGTATGTATTATGAAATTTTTTGTCCATATGTTTAACAAAATTTTTTATTGTATTTGATGTTCCGCATTGAAGGAAGACTTTTTAGAAGTTGAATGAAAAACAAATATATTGTTGTTCTTCAAGCAAGGTCACTAAATTCAAATTGACTATATCCAAAACTATAGTTTTGAGATATAAGAAATTTACCCTTGACATGTGATTTTATTTAACCTCCTAATTGGATGCCACCACCCATTTGGGATATTTTTTATTATTTCAATCTATTTAAGATGGTAGAGGATACTTGTGACATTTAAGCATGTTCAGGTCATTTTTATATTTAAAACTAATTGTTAACTAATTCTGTAATTTGATGCGCAGTAATAGTAAGTACAGTAGTAAATATTATATTCTAGCTTCTACAGTTAGTTTATGTGTAAATAGCAGGTTTATTCAGTCCATTAAAATGTTTAGTGTGGTGTTGGGGACTTTTGCTTGAACAACAATGATCATTTACCATAGTCGGACAGAATATTGTAAAACACACACCAGCGATGAACAGCACACAAACTCTAGGTTCACAATCTCCGAACCTGACAAGTTACACACCCTGACTTAAACGTAATTAGCTAAATATCCCTGGAAAGAAAAGGTTCCACTGAGAACTTGGATCGCTAGATTCAGAATGGAACCATGGAACATCCCATGCCGGGAATCGAACGCAGGCCGTCTGGGTGAAAGCCAGGAATTCTAACCTCTAGACCACATGGGATTTATTGTAGCACAAAATACAATAAATTAACCAATCACATCATAGAGAATACTCTTGAAAAATTTCATTTTTGACCAGTTTGATGGTGCTGAAATAGTAATTTAGTATTTATTTATAAGAAATTCTTAAGAATAAAAAAAAATCAGCAATGATTTCATGTAAACATACAGATACAGAAACAAACATAGAAAAATACAAAGATTTATTGGAATATTATATACTTTTTATATATGGAGTACTCTCACGATTTCCGAAAATTTATAACAATCCAATCAAATTCTGATCGAAAATTGGATCATCACAGCCATTTACAATCAAGCAATCACACTGCAATAAAACAAGAACCAATGCCATTGCAGACCTCCATGCTTGAATTTTCGATTGCATTTCATCCACAGATTCTTCAGTACAAATTTCATTTGAACAGTCAGTTTTTTCTAATAGGATTTCAAAATAATTAAGAAATCCTCTTTGAATGGCTAATTTGATTCGTTCCCGAGTATCTATAAGGATAAAAAATAACTAGTTAATACTGCTGTTCACATTTCAGAAATAATTTCTTTCTGACTTTTATTAAAATTCAAGAATTTGTTGTGTTTGATATATATGGCAATCTAACAATTACCTATTAATTCATTTACAGAAATATTTTATTTACTATTTTGTCTGTAAAATATTTAATAGAAATAGCATTTTTTTTTTTTTTTTTGCTTGAAGACTGGAATTTGTTGAGTGACATAATTTCTTACTCAGACTCTATAAGCAGGAACATAAAAAGACAATGTACATACTGTAGGGTGTAAAATTTTTTGCCAAAATTAAATGCCAAAATCTATATTAAGAAAAAAGTTTTGTATTGTTTGCCACAACTCTGTGAAATATATACAGATAACAAATCATTTCCCTTTGAAGCTGTTTAGTTCTTAAATCAAATCTGGACTCTTTTTTTTTTTTAATTTGATTGTCCAAAAGCACTCTCCATGGTTGGACTGTATCAGGAGTCTCTTTAAATAAGTACTTTGCAGGAGACAGAAGGAATCTGCCCTATTCCATTTTACTTCTGCTTCTAGCTAGACATTCCAAAGTATTGTTGAAACAAATTTGGTCGATATCAATTTAATAATCTCACTTACATCACCACCAGGGGTGTAGTGGAGATGGAACACACCAAAATGCTGTTTCAGCTCTTCTTTTTTACGAGAAATAAATAAATTAAGGACGTTATCACAATTTATTTGCTCTTTGCTTATACAGCTTGATTTTTGCCACCCAGCTTGGAGCGTTCCGATACTGCTTTTAGAGCATGGGCACTGCTTATTTTGCAACTACACCACGGCACAATACCCTGTTACAGATACATGTTAATATAAATATCTTTGTATATTTCTGACATCTAAGAATTTTAGGTATACAGAATATAAATACTTACCATTTCTGGCTGGACATTTTTGTAGAAAGTCAAAGCACCATTTTTCAGTTTTTCCTCCACCAGGTAGTAGTTTATTTCCTTTTGTTGCCAAGTGCAAACGTGATGCCATATGCCAAAATTGGTGCTCTTGACTAGTCAGCAGAAGTTGATTTGGATGACACAATACTATAGTGTAAATTTTTTTCTAGGGAATAGCAAGAATAGAATTAAAACCAAAAGGAGCTTTAGAAAAAAGAGAGACAGTTTATATTTAAAATAAACAAATAAAACTGCTGTATAGAGGACATCTGAATTTGGAAATATAAAAGAAGTAAAGCAAGTCCCCAATCCCCTAAAATAAAAATAAAACCGTTGTTTGGAAAAACCACTTAAAGAATGAAGTGATGTGAAAGGAAAGTTTTTATTTCATCAAAGAGTTTTATTTTTGTTGTTTTTCTTCATTCATAGAGTTCAAAACAGAAATAATCTAAATAGCACAATGGGGAGGGAACCTATTTATTATGGCTGTTACAAAATTAGACGAAAATAAACTAATATCTAACTTAAAATTTAACAAAGCAAGGAAATTAAAAATTAGAATAAACTACTTGAAGACTCCCCTGGAAAATAGTTTAAGTATAGGATTGTGGCATACACTGAATACAGCCACAATGATCTAAGTGCATTTTCCCCCCCAGGAGAATTAACATTTACAAAAATGGAACTGAAGTGAAATTTTTAAAATTCATTTACTGCAAAGAAAACCTTGTATTTCCTATAAATTTTGGAGCTTGGAACGGGCAAAAAATCTGGACAGTCAATTAACCTACAATTTTAATACTATATTATATTCCAGAGTGCTGAAGAAAAAAAAATTATATAAACTATTAATTACTTGCAGCCATTATGACAACATGATTCTTTTTTTTTTTTAATTTTTCCCTTTATTTTGAACTAAATTAACTTATGTAACTAAAGAATTCTATACAATACAATAATAAAATTTCATGCAGTCATTTTATATTTGTTTTCCCCCCGAACCCATTTTTTATGAGGACCAGACGGCACACTAACTATAACCACCCTTGATATTTCAGGGCAATTTCTACACTAGGCTTTGGATAATTTCTGAATGATGTATGAAAGGGCCAGATCTACTTAAAAATTATGTTTGCCATCAAGATTTTCAAATAAGATCAAGCAACTGTTTTTTTAACAGTTGTTATTAACTTAGCTGAAACATCTTGACCCTAATTAGAATTTTTAATCAAAATATTCTCTACTTTCAGATCTTTGTTTTTTAATTTACGCAGTGGTTTTAGAATAAATGCAAGTCAATAAAGTGAATATTTTCATGGAAGCTCTTTTCAGTGTATTTTTCTCAAAGTACTAAAAATTTAATTCAGTCTTACACATTGATGCAATAGCAAAATAAATTATCAAAATAAAGCAAAATCAATATGACTTACAGCTTCTTCAGGATTGGAAATGGTAATATGTACATAAAAGTCTTCATCTCTCATTTCAACATGTTCAAAATCCCATTTTTTTATAGTTAAATTTGAAATGACATTTTCCTGCATATGATTAAAAAAGGGTATTTTAAAAATTTGCAGAAAAATATAGTGAAATAGATCTTTATCATCCCATCATTACTTCAAATGATATGAAAATAAATCAAAATATCAATTATACCACAGATACACTTTCAGCTTCATTGTGGTACATACAGTGGCCAAACAGTTGGAACAGTACGAATTGGCAACAAAATATCCTGGTTTTATTTTTGTTGTAGATTATATTTGCTATACAATTTCTATTGTTATATTTTTCCAAGATTTAAGACTTATTAAGCAAATTTAAACATCTGAGCTGAAAGTTTTACCTACAGTCACCACAAAAATATACATACAATGCACCAAAAATTGCATAAATAAGAGGACCAGCTTAGACTGAATCTGGCTAAGAGAATCTTCTTTTAACGGAATGCAATAAACATAAGAAATGTCGAGTCAACAATTTAAAGAGATCCATAATGTAAGCTGAACCAAGTGAGTGATTTTAGATACTCATTGCAAGGATAGGAAGCATGTTTAATTCCATAAACAAAAGAGACCAGTGGGAAGAAAAAAGATGTAACAGGGTGCGTAGCTGGAAACTGCTGCAAAAATTAAGCACTATTAAGCACCTTAGCCAGAAAAACTAAGCACCTTTGTACATGCATACGTAGATCCATGTATTTTCTAAGCATATGATGTTTTCTGTTTTATAATAATGCATAGTATTATTGGAAAATTTACTACATATATATTTTTAAAATGCGTATTTTTTAATGTTAATACTTATTTCTGAATTTGCACAACATCTTCTATTGCAAAATAAAGGGTGCCCTTTTGTTTTGACAAAAAAATAAAAATAATAATGCAAATTGCCATTACCAAAAATTAAGTCAACTTTTATAAGATTAACAATAAAAATCTAAATGATCTTTTACAACATATCTTAAAATTAATAAATCGGTTAATTTGGACAACCAGTTAATTTGCCCCTTCGGGATAACCATTCCATATTTCAATACACGGCGGTGCCCATTGCTGAAGAAAGGGAGTGGAAAAAAAGCTTATCAATATCCAGTCAACAAAGGGTTTCAAAATAAATAAATAAATAAATCATATAGTTTTGAAAATTGGTACACTTGTTCGTGAAGGGCTCCTGATGAACATATTAAAAGTCCCGATCCTGAGGGAGAAAAGGAGCCGCCATCTTGGATTTCATCCCCCTTTTTTTAGTTTTTCTTGAATTTCTCGAAAACTATTCAGTTCTCAAATCACAAATTAAAGAGAATGAAATTCCCTAAAAATAAATGCTTTTGTTTTTCTTCTAGCTTTAATAGTTTCTGAGATAATGGGTCTCAAAGTTTGCCTCCATCTTGGATTTCATGCCCTTATTTTAGTCTTTTTTTAATATCTCGGAAACTATTCAATTTGTAAATTGAATGTAATCAGCAAATTAAAAAGCGTAAAATTTCCTACAAATACATACCTTTATGTTTCTTCTATCTTTAATAGTTTCGGAGGTAATGAGTCTCAAAGTTTGCCGCCATCTTGGATTTTATCCCTCTTTTTTTTAGTTTTTCTTGAATACCTCGAAAAATACTTAATTTCAAAATCACACGTGATGCAACAAATTAAAGAAAGTAAAATTCCCTACTAAAGTATGCTTCTATTTTTGTTCTAGCTTTAATAGTTTCCGAGATAATAGGCTTCTAAATTTGCTACAATCTTGGATTTGATACCCCCTTTCTTAAATATTTCAGAAACTATTAAAGCTACAAGAAAAATAAAAGCATGTATTTGTAGAGAATTTCACACTCTTTTAATTTTTTAAATCAATTGTAATTTGAAAACTGAATAGTTTTCAAGAAAAACTACAAAAAGGGATTGAAATCCAAGATGGCGGCACGCGCCCCCCCCCCCAGGACCGGAGATTTTTAATATGTTCATCAGGAGCCCCTCCCGAATGTGTGTACCAATTTTCAAAACTATAAGATTTAATTTTTTTTCACCCCCATTTTGTGCTTTCATTGACTGGA